CACCGAGACGGCCGAGCCAATGATCGCAAAGCGACAAGCTCGAATTTGCAATCGATAGGCCTCCCGCGACACTTGTTGCTAGCGCGACTGAGCGGGTCATCGAACGGCATGATTTTCAGGGTAGTACCTAGGGAGTTGCTCCGGTATTGCAGCATGCAATGCACCCACCGCGTACTACTCACATTGCAGTAGCTGCCATTTTTTGAGGAAGGTTGTACGACAGTGCGTCAACCGCGCGGCTCCACACACGGCTCGGGTCGGCAGACTTCCATATCAGGAATAGGCGTGGGGTCTCTCAAAGCGATATCACAAATGTCTCGTCTTTCAGTGGCTTGGTTTGGTTTTGCATGTGACCGGAGAATCAACGTCGAATTATGACTTCAACTAAAAGATATTGCGTGGAAACAAAAGCAAAACCATTGGCTATAAGATCATGCAAGAGTACAGCAGAGTTGCAACTTTAGTCGCAGCACACCACTACGATTGCAATTGCTCGCTCGAGCAACCTCGACCAGGAAGAGATGCGTCATGTGGCGCGATTTGTACAGATGCTCGACTGGATCTCGAATTCTGGTGGAGAAAGACATTGGTTGCCAGTCACCATCTTCCCCCCGCGTACACGTATGCGGATGCTATGTGCGCGCTAGTCGGTCGCTTCTCGAGCGGTGCCCGGGCACAAAGTCGGTCTGAGCTCGTTTGCACATGGAAAAAATACCTCGACTACTCGCTATCATCCGGTCGACATCCGGTAAATCTACTTGAAGTCGATCGTATACGCCAAGACGTACCATGGCAGCGCTGGCTCTAGCTACAATATGTCCGGACGAAGGATTTTTCTCGCCAGCTCGTCCTGATGGGGTACTAGGACATGCAAGCCTCTTCGTATATCTCCAGTTAAATCGCAATCGTACTCCGGATGTGTAATTGGAACCGATGGCCTGCTTCAATCCTTAACCGCACGTGCGTAGGCATTGCTACCAGGATCCAAGCCGGGCCAGTGGGTGTGTCCGCGTCATCCGTATCCAGACACGTGGGAAGAGGTGTGCATGATCAAAAAGAAAGGAACCCATGGAGAAGCGGGCCTGGGACCTCATTGCCTGCAGGCAATGCTACCCGCGATGTTACCTTTGTCTCCCGCTATCGATATCTCTGTATGCACGCAATGACGATTAAACCTTGTACCGCTTCGAGAGACCCTGGAAGATATGAAGGCGTGTTAGGTCACCTGGCGGCTTGCACAAGGACGGCCGAGGTAGGTCCTTTTGCTGGTCTGGGAATACAGCGGTAAGTAGGCTCTGTCCTTGAAGTCGCTTCCTTAGGTGCAGCGAGGTACAGATGCGATACAAGACCGACGTCGGATTTGACTCCACCAGAGCTTTTGTCCTCCAATCAGACGTGAGCGGTCGGCCCTACCTCTTGGTAGTGGTGCCATGTGGGGCAAAACCCGCCTAAGCGCGCCTTTGCAACTGTCACTTTTCGACATCGATAGCTTGCCGTGCACTCACCTATTCGCCATCTTGGTCGGCGGCAGTCCATCAAGGGTCGCGGCTTGACCTAGCCGTATCGATAGTCAGGGGTCCTGAAGGGCCTCTTCCGTCATCTAGCGCACGGAACATTTCCTCATCCAGCTGTGATTCGCCCACGCGTTCGTGCGTTTGCGCACAAGCCTCAAATTAGAGCCGCAGCCTCGGACTCGTCCAGACGTTCACCGTTTTCCCCGATTCCCACACTACACCCTTATGGATCGGACCGTTGGTCCTTCCAGCATGACGGACGAGGCGCTTCGTGTTCTGCGTGGTAGTTGCATCGGGTCTACTTACTTTCTAGGACAGCAGACGTTGTGATAGCGCTAGAGAAGGGTGGGTTGCTCGTCTTTTCATTGACCGCGGAACACACGATAGGTGAGAGCGTCCATCAAGCGACGCAGCTTGTGTAGCATGCAGATGGCCTGACATTGATCCGATCGTACTGCAGTGCAGTGGCACAGTTCAGCTAGCCAACAATGACTTTAGTTCACTTGCATGGAAGCTTAGACGTAATGTAACGGGTCGTTCCAACCGGCTCGCCCGCGCAGCAGAACCTGTATCTAGAGCAACGTCGATATGGTAACTTTCTATATGTACCAATGCTTGACACCCCGCGCCTATTAGCCCAATCTAAGGTCTTACTTCGTAACCAAACTTTACTGCCATCATGGACTTCTTAGAGATGCAAAGCGTACATTTGCCAGCGCTCAGCCCATTGGCGGTCAATGCTGCGAGCAGCATCTTCGGTTTGATATCGATTTTCTTTTGTTACAAGGCCTTGGTTGCGAAGAAGCTGGTATGTACCGAATGCACATCCTCAGTATGCATTATGAGTGCACACTGACTTGTTCACCAGGCTTCTTCTCCATCAAGGATCTTGAAGACCATCTTCAAGCCTATCACCAAGCGGTACCAGGCATGGGCATATCTCTTCTGGGGCCCTGAAATCATCCAGAAAGCGTTTGATGAGGCGAAAGGGAAGCCATTCGAGCTCTTCGCCCCGGATAACCGCTATGTCTTTGTCTCCGACCCTCAGCAGATCAAGGAGCTAGACAATGCGCCAGATACGGTGCTGTCACTTCAGGCAGCGTCAAAACAGGTGAGTTCTTGGGCAGCTTTCGTTCTTGGCCATTATTGACAAATTGTAGATGCTACAGCCCCTCTACACTATGTAGGACGACCCTCGCGCTTCTCGAAGGCAGTCTTTGTGCATTCGGTCTACTAACGAATCGCAGGCACGGCTTCAACTGGTTTGACCGACGTGGTACTGAGGGTGTTGGGTTTATCCGCGCTCTTCGCACACTTTTGACCAATAACTTGCCTAAGATCCTTCCTGACCTCACTTGCATCATCCGCACCAGGTTTCAGGAGCTACATACTGGACACCCAGTGATCAACGGTAATACAACGCCAAGCTTTGACCTATCTAACTCTGCTGACAACTATCAATAGGAAAGAAGCAGTCGGATGTGTATCACATGACTGTGAAGTTGGTCGTCTTGTCGAATGCAGTATCTTTCTTTGGAAAGGATCTGGGTAAGTCTCGTGCCATGCACTTCGCTCATTGCTTCGTGCATGACTGACCGAAGGCAGCAAAGGATGAGCAGTTCATGGTCTCCGCCCTCGCATACATCGAGGAGACTTTGATCTGCGCTGAGATCGTTCGCCTGCTACCTGGGTTCATGACCCCGTAAGTGCTATTGCCGAGTCACATCAGCCCTCTTTACTAATTCGTACAGCATCGTCGGCGGTATCATCGCTCGCACACTCAAGTCACACGCTGTCATCTTCAATAGGCTCCTGCCCATTGCCGAAGAACGATGCATCGAGCGAGACGCAGCCAAGCTAGGCCAAAAAGTGCCCCAACACGCCGACTGCATCCAATGGATCATGGAGACATCACCCAAGAACGCGCCCTGGACACCTCAGCGTGTCGTCCACGAGCTGATGGCCATCTGGTTCGGCTCCGTGCACGCCGTCTCCACAACCGTGACTTTCGCCATCCACGACCTCTGCCTCCACCCTGAGTACGTAGAACCCCTACGAAGGGAGTGCGAGTCCCAATACGCCGCGTTTGAGCAAAGCGGTGTTGGACTTCCGCTTCTCGACAGCTTTATCAAGGAGTCTGCGCGCTTGACACCCGTTGAGTCGCAAAGCACACGTCGCTCAGCGCTCCAACCTTTCTCTCTCAAAGACGGTACTCACGTCAACATTGGAGATTGGTTCTGCACACCCGTCCGCGCCATCATGACGAACCCCGTCGATTACCCCGAAGCAACGACATTCAGTGGTTTCCGCTTTGCTGACCCGCAACTCGTTAAGAGCCTGGAGAATGCTGATGGCGCTTTCGACATTATGCAGAAGAAGCCAACGAAACTGACTGACTTTGACATGACATTCCACGTCTGGGGAACGGGCAGAATGGCCTGGTAAGTCTCTTGCTGTATCTCGGTTGTTGTGAAGACACTGCTAACGATTCGTTGTAGCCCCGGAAGGTACTACGCCTCAGCTGTCATGAAGGTCATCCTCGGACAAGTCATCTTGAACTACGACTGTGAGCTTGTAAACCCGACTGCGAAGCGCCTCTTCACTTGGCGGTCGACCATCTTGCCTAAGCCTAGTGCTAAGGTCGTCTTTACTCCAATCAGGGAAGTGAACTAGAGAAGGAGGTACATGGGATGATTCAACGTTGATGCTCGCTGCTGGATATGCAGAGCAATGACGCAACGGACGATGCGGGAATGGCGTTATTCTTCTTTCTTTTCTTCTGACTGCACGAATTTCCTAGACGAGTACATGATACAACGACTGCTACACATGAATACACGCCACCTTATCATCATGACGCCTACTGCTACATTGAGCTGCTCGCCAGCCAGGGCGATGCTCGCAACCACATCACTCATAACATCACATTGCATACCATGACACACCAACTTCTAAAATCCATACATTGAACGCAGGGTATCTCCCAGAAAGAAAGCAAAGAAAGACACGATCTAGCCGCTGAACGCCACCCATCCCAATACCGCGACCGTTTTCAGCGACAACTCGCCTACTAGCGCCCCGGGCAGCCCTGATAAAAGAAAAGCACCTCCTAGCACTGCCGGTCCTCGGCCCGATTGAAGACGCGCCTAGTGTGCGCCGCCGGTAGCTAAGAGCATTCCAATTCGGACCACGTCACACGTTGGATGTGGAGCAAAGCTGCACCTAGCCATGCCGATACGGCAATACTGCAGACGCCATTCGCGCGGACAATAGTCGCGCTCCAATGCTGCAGACGCAAGATCAGAAAAAGGGAAGAAAAGAAGCAGTCTAGATCTCAGCCGTTAGCTTTAGTTGCTGTGCTGGAAAATGTGGTACGTACTTTTGTTATACAAGTTGTTGGGGAATTGATCCAGTCCCAGATTTCGTCACTGGGTGGACGTGTTCAAGTGTTTAGTCGGTTCAAGAGATGTCTTGACTGCTCAATCACTACCAGCCCGGTCCCTGGCCAAACGGATACCGGTGGCCGGCATCTTCTAGGAAAGCATGACCAGTCTGGCTCTTGGTCAGGTGACCGTTTGCCCGTGCCATCTTCGTTCCGGTCTGAGGATGAAGGAACTGGGTGTCCGACTGCGACCGTGTGAAAGGCATGGCGTCTGCAGTAATATTCAACTTGTTCCACTCCGCCCAGTTGGTATCGTCACGAGCTAGCAGACTGCTGTAATGATCAATGTCGCGGCGTGGTGGAGATGGGGCTGAAGCAGGCCGGTTTGCTACGACGAAGCCGCGCTGTACGTTGTTCGTGGGGGATGCGTCTTCATGGGTCGCGACCTTGCCGATAGAGTCATGTTGGGGCGCGGGATGAATGTTGGAATGATAGTTCAGTCTCATCCGCTTGTCAAAGGTCGCAGGGATGAGATATCTCAATTCAAGGTGGGGTTGGGAAGGCAATGGAAGCGCTGCGTCAGAGTCGCGATCCTCTCTAATCCAGGATATGATCGAGACGGGCGGTGGTGTATTGCTGACATCGTCATTCTTAGGCGAGACTGGTTTGCGTCCGGCAAAGAGTTCGACGATCCAATTGTGCCATACGCCAAGAGAGGGCTTTCTTGAGCTTCCCGTCGATACCTGAGCCAAAGTTGCTGCAGTGATGGCTACCGCTGGAGTGCGATCTGTTGCAGTAACGGCCACAACTGGAGTCAGAATTGCTGGAGCAACTGTCGACACTGAAGATGGGTCTGCCGTAGTGGTTGTCGTCGCTGATACTGGATGTTCTGTGACTACTGTTGATGCGGATGCTCCTGCGACCGTCGTATCTGGCCTTGTCGACGGTGAGTCTGGTGTAGCTACTGCCACTCCCGATGATCCATCTGCTGTAGTCTCCTCCGACACTTGGGAAGGGCCCGCTGTAGCATGTTCGGCGACAGGAGAGTCATCTAATGTAGCTTCCGTTGCCGCTGGCAGAGTTTCTGGCCAAGACCAGTCTGACTGAGGATACCAAAGTGGCGCCAGATTCAAAAGAGAGGCGGGCGGGTCGTCATCTTCGTCTGTGAAATCCCCTGGCGCGCCGGAACTGCATGGGACAGCAGAGGCATCATCATCTTCTGATTCATTTCGATTATCGCTCTCGCAGGTACCGCTCGTCTCGTGATCTTGCTCATCCGTAGCGCTACGGGCTGCTTCTGAACTGTCCGTGGTAACAGGGGCTCTGTCACGTATTAGTACGGTTCGAAGACCGCTTTTGAAGGCGCCGGCAGACTCTTGATCGTCAGTAGTTAGTACATGGCGCCTGGCGAAGGACGATCCGTTATCGTCAACAGGGTTGCTATTGTCGTCATAGATCGGGTCGTTGGATCCAGCAGAAGAGGTATACACTGAACCAGTCAGTGGATTCATTTGGTTGATATACCGTTTGAAGTAACGATGTCTACCTTTTGGTGCTTTTGTAGGGCTCTGCGCATCGCTGTTTGTTTGTTTTGCTTTCGGCTTCTCGACATGGTGCTTCTTGCTGGTTCTACGCTGCTTCGCTTGGCTACGGAGCTGGGCGCGAGACTTGACTTTGGGCACAGTCATCGCGACACGTGCAGCTGGGTTGGATGAGATTAGAAGGTTAGTGCATGCCACTCGTAGCACGAGCGATGCGAGTGCGGCAATGCGTGAGATCTGTAAAGTGCAATTCAAAATCAGACGTAGAGGCGCGGCTTGTTGTTGTGTATGCTAACAGTAGCTGCGCGTAGACAAGTCCACAATGTTTGCAGGGTCCAACAGCGCAGTGCGCGTCGCGACAGCGCAAAGTCTAGGTGAACCAGTCGTAAGACAGGGATTGCAAATTTAGGAGACAGTGACGACATGGTGAAGGAGAGCGGGAATGAGAAGAATACGTATATAGCCTTCACCGTTGACCATGTTGGGGTGGAGGTGACGGTGAGTTAATACAGAGGACGGCGCTCAGTTACTTAAGGGCAGTTCAGAAGTTTGCGTGACTGTCACTTGCACCACCCGACAATCAGCTTTGATATTGAATCATTCGTGGAAGCGTCAGGTGTATACCTCATGACAGTCGTCCAAGCTCCTATTGGCGCTGAGTACCTAGGTATGTGTAAGATACGGGTCATCGATCATCACGTGTGGCTTGTCGACGCGTCCACCCTGCTTCTAGACTAGAAAGCCGCGGCTTCTCATGCCTTGTCTGCGCAGATGTATGTGACTGCACGTCCGTTAGTACTGAGTGAAGTGAAAAGCAAAGTGGTGTGTTGGATACCATTGTTACCACGGACGAAAGCATCCCCCCAATTCCGAGTGACGCGTCCCTCAGACACCTCCTTGCATCGCTCCAGTGCAATGTTCATGTAGCCATCTACTGACTGAAGGTCGCCTACATGGAGATTAGTAATTGATGTGCATCATAGGCACGTCAAGGGCTACCTTTGTAGATGATACCAGAGTTCAGCTTGACGGTGACGGGAGCTCCGATGATTTCACTGAGGAAGCCGCTAGGATCTCTAGAGTCACCGGCGGCGTCAGGTGCTGGGCTTTCACCGTTGGTGGACATGGTGATGAGGGTGGTGGTGATGCTGAATTTTCTAGCAAACAATCAGCACCTTGTTACGACGCGTCTAGATAGATCTTACGTTGATGCTTAAGTAGGCGTAAGCGTATAATTCTTGAAATCGGTCGCTGATGAAGATGGAAGTGAGAGATGGCGATGTTGGGTGGTGTGGAAAGGCAGAGTGCACGGGCCCAGTCTCTTCCTCATCGCGAGAAGCGTGACTGCGCGCGTTGAGGCCCCACCTGCACCAACCCGCGCCTGCCCCGACAGCGGCCTTCCAAGGTTGCCCTTTCCTACACACTACCCTGGGGTAGCACGACACCTCCTCCGCCCACTCAGACCGCCCATGGCACCGCCCGAACCATGACCGACACACCCGCAAGCGTCGCACCACCCAAGAAACGCAGCCTGTTCAAGCGGGCGGCATGGCAGGATGCGCCCAAGAAAGACGGCGAGGACATGTTCAGCCACTCCAACGAGTTCAATGACATAGTCGCCGAGCAAGCGAGGATCCGCGCAGAAGAGAAGAAGCAGGCCGAGGCAGCCAGGAAGCGCAAACACTCTGAGCCGCGCGACCAGAAGCGCCGTCGCATATCAAACGACACCGAAGAGCCCGTGCCTACCAAAAGTAGCTCAGCCAGCAGAGAGCGGGCGAGTAGGACCGCCAGCAAAGTGTACGCATCAGGCCCTGCATCGCAATATTAGTACTAACAATAGCTCAGGCGCAGCAAAGTATCCCCCTCGCCCGCGCCATCGCATCCGCCGCCGGACTCGCTCACGGCCCGGTACGACTCCCTCACCAAATCCGCCTCCTCGAGTGTTTCATTGCCACAACAGACGTCTTCCGTCATTGACCTAGGCGATTCAGACCTGGACGACGACTCGGGCTATGTTTCCAAGCCGCACAACGACAAGTCTGAGTTGGACTACAAACCACCGAGATCCAATGACAAACAGCCCATAGCCGTTCGACCATCGAAGCCACCTCCAATAGAGGTCAAGGATGACGACGACGACGACGAGGAAGATGAGGAAGGCCTGGATCCTACAATAGCTGCATTGCAGGCCAGGGCACGAGCGCGCGTTGCAGCGGCCAAGGCGCAAGCCGCAGCAGCTTCAAACGGCGACGCTCCGAAAGCACCCATAACGCAGCTCTTTATCGACCCACAAATACCTGGCGCAAATCCATTGATGGTCAAGGTCAGGATAGACAGCACCATCGAGAAGCCACGGCTGGCATGGTGTCAGAAAGAGAAGTTCTCGCCTGAAACAACACGCAATGTCTTCTTCACATGGAAGGGCGCACGCCTCTTCGATAGCACATCGATAAAACGCTTAGGAATAAAGGTGGAAAACGGCAACTTATCCGTCGAAGGAGACTCCAATATTTACGACGACGTCAACCTCCCCAAGATTCATGTCGAAGCGTGGACAGAGGAGATCTATAGGCAGTGGAAGAGGGATGAGGCTGCGGCGGCTGAGGCGAGAAAGATCGCCGCCGCAGCACCTGCCGTGGCAAAAGAAAAGACTCCAACACCAGAGCCCGAGCCTGAACCCGCTTCCAACCGGGTCAGGTTGATCCTCAAGGCGAAGGGTAAACCCGAGTTCAGGTTGACAGTCAAACAGGTGTGTGTCGACTGTCCCTTTGGAGTGTGCGCAAAAGTGCGACGCCATACTTCATCAGCCTTGTTCAAATGCTAACTAGTCATTAGGAGACCACCGTCGCCCACATCGCAAGTGCCTACAAGAACAGCCAAAAGATCGATAAAAGTCAGCCAATCACGCTTATGTTTGATGGTGAGCGGCTAATGCCCATGGATACTGTGGAAGAGTGCGATCTTGATGACAAGTGTATGGTTGAAGTTCTCTTCAAGTGATTAGGTCTCCAGTTGGGATACAACAGAACACCCCTGCTTTCTTGTTTCCTCTCCTACAGTTGCTTCTTGCTTATTTTGGCGTTGATTTTATGACACGACCGCAAGCATGGCGTTGGTGGAGTACCAGACAGGATATAAGCATTTGTTGCACGTGCATAGCGACGACTTGGCTTCGCTCATCTATTTGTTGATCCTACGGACTTCTCAGATATTGGGGTTCTTTCTCCGGTTCGCACCACCATCCAGAATCAACTCCTGCCCACTCAAGAAACCCGCACCCATGACGTACTCCACCATCTCAGCGAGATCTTCTCCTCTGCCCACTCTGCCGGCTGGATGTTGCTTGTGGTAAAGCTCGTCCAGGTCGTCCGCCCAGGCCTTCATCCTCAGCTTCATCGCTTCCTCCTCATGAGGTGCAGTCTCTTTGTACGATCCGTTTTGCGTCTCTTTGATCTGCAGATCATAAGCTTTGCACTCGTGCTGCACGCTGACCCAGCCCGGCGAGATCGCCATAACACGGATTCCCCAGCGTTGGCACGAGACAGACATGGCCTGTGTGAGAGCCAGTACACCGCCCTTGCTCGCAGCATAGCCTTCGCAATCCGGGTCCGACTGATGAGCGCGGAAAGAAGCAACGTTGATGATGCAGCCTCCTTCGTCGAATTTGTCATCGCCATGGAGATTCAGCGGCAACTGATTGAACTCGTCCGTACGCTTCAAATCTTTCGTCCGATCAACACCCGGCGCACCATCTTTCTGCGTGTTCTTGCTCTTCATGAAAGGAATGACGGCTTGGCTCATATAGAAGGGTGCGCTGAGATTAGTAGCAATGTACTGTTCCCATTGCTCCCCCGTAGCGACATCTTCCATGGTCCCATTTCCTGCGTTGAAGAAGCCTCGCGCTACACCTGCATTGTTGACAAGGACATCTATGCGACCGCCGAAGAATTCCGCGGCTTTGGCAACTGCGCTGCGGATCTCCTCTGGATTGCGGAGGTTGGTTATCGAAGAGCTGACGCGTGGTGCGTAGGAGGCCAGATGTGTGTTTACAGCGTAATCCAATTCGTCTTTGTCGAAATCGATGATGAACACGCGATGCGATGCTGGTAACGAAAGCAAATGTCGTGCTGTGCAGCGGCCGATGCCTCGCGCACCGCCGGTGATGATGATGTTCTTGCTCTTAGTAGACGGCATGATGTTGGATCTGAACTTTTCTGAAAGCGCAAACGCAGGGTCTGGACTGTATCGTACAGACAAGCCGCTTCTTATATCTATCCTATCCGCGTTGGTGGCGCCTCACGCGCGGCAGCAATATCAAGCACCTGGCAGCGGGGAGCACACACCCTTTCAGCCTATTCAGCCCACCTTGGCTTATCCAGAACAGTAGTTCAAGGCCGCTTGTCCGCGAAAGCCCTATCTGGAATAGAAAGGCAGCTTCATAAACGTGCGTGCTGTTGAGAAAGCTTGGTGGGTCTGCGTGTGGTGGTGGGATACGTATCCCGTGGATTGGAAGCAGGCCCGCGGTTCCGTCGTCTTGCGGCCTAGCTTGCTCCGACGGAACGTTGGGTTTGGAGATTTGATGACTGCATAGCGCTGTATACGTTGCCTCGGGCTGCTCGTTGTCTAAGACATGCTAAGCGATGTGTATTGGGCGTGCCTGCAGAGCCGTTGGAGGAGATACGGATTCCGGGAAGACGGATCGGCTTGCGGGCCGTGGAATGTGCTGTTAGCCAAAGGGATCCAACCAACACCGATGATGGCCCAACGCTGGTTCTCCTGCCCTTTGTTTCTGTCTCGCGCAATATTGTCTTCCGTTTTTGACATTACCGCGCGAGGTTCTCACTTCACGCGGTGGTTGAGAGATCCACTCTTGCCGTGTTGTCGATTTTGCCGAGGTTAAAATGCGTGGCCTAACTACTATCACGACTGCTCATCTCGGATGTTGCTACCTATCATCTCAATTTCTCCATGCGCTCTCACAAAGTGCTGCGCTACGATCATAATAGAGCAGTTTGAGCAAAACGATCCTTCTGATGGAGGGATACATTCACGATGCCCATGGCGTCATCATACCTCCACCGCCTGGAGGCCGCCGAACGAGTGTCAAAGCGGATAGTCTCCTCATCGATACCCCAAAAGCAGGACATACCGCTGGGTTACTCTATCGAATGAACCTGCTGATAACCTGATGAGGCTTCCTCCTATATATTGCCCTCGTCCCTCACAGGAAGTACTCAATATTTCTCCTACCAAATCTGAAGCCCTTGCGTGGATCTCTCGTATCCTTCCTATTCTAGACAGGCAATCGATCGTATGTAAGACATCGAATCCAATCTTCAAGTACGTCAGGAGGAGTATACAAAGGCAGCCTCTTTGACATATGTTTTACATTATGCAGCTGCGTAGACCACTACCTACAGCCCCTCGAACAGAAACAAAGGAACTGTGTGTCTCGAACACGAGATCGCTGCAGTGAAACTACGCACACATGACGCTTCTCAGAAAAATGGCCTCGTTGGTACATCTGATAGACGACTATATGTAATCACCTGCGTTCACCAAGTTTGCTCACCAGCAGGAACCAAAATGCGCATCGCTATCCTCACCGTTCTTTTCCCAGCAATACACGGCGCCATTGTCCCGGCTCCTCTCTTCTTTGGGAATCCGGAAGATAGTCAAGTCGCATCACTAATCGGGTTTCTGGAAACATACGTAGATCACATGCCTTCAACGGCGGATTCTACATTGACTTCTGTATTCAGTCAAGCTACTCCAGCTGTGTCAACGACGGTTTCATGTCTGTCTACCGTCACAAAAGATCCGTCCCTCAACACTGGAAGTACGCTCACCTCATCATGGGTGGTAGATGGCCCTGGTGCACCCAAATCGGCTCCTTCTCCAGTAACGCTTACCTCCACGGTATTGGTTGTAATCTCAGGAAGCGCATACCAGTCGCCGACTCCTTCCACTTCTGTCGCAACGCCAACTAGCTCAAACACCGTGAGCCTCGTTGTCAGCACGACAATGAGCGCGGCACCCTCTACATCCGACTCTGTGGCTCTCACGCCACCGTATACGCCCCAGGGCATACCACCAAGCCCCGAAGGCATACCACCGGACTTCCACAGCACATTGATACTTCTCTCGACATGGAAATCACTCAAATGGAAACCACTGCCCTTGCCCATGAACCCGACATCTCTAAAGCCGACATCTACATCAACAAGGATAGTCACAGTCACTATAGAACAGCCAGCCTCCACAACAAAGCCAGTCTCTACCTCCAAAAAGCCAATCTCTACATCCAAAACGCCGGCCTCTACCTCCAAAAAGCCAGCATCTACGTCGAAGCCAGATCTGGGCCCTACTGTCATCACGAGCGTGATAAAACCGGATACGCGCTGCCCGTATCCTTATCCGCACATATATTGTGGTAAAACGAAGACGACGTTGATAACGATGACGAGCAAGACGAGTTAATGAGTGAAGTCGAAGATGCGCGGTGCCGGTGTTCTCATCTTAGGAACTAGATGTTGTGTTGAGGTGTCGATGGCTTTGTCCACGGGTCGATGGGAAGTTTGAGTAGTCACTATTCTTGGTCAGGTTATTAAAAAAAAGCGGCCATCAGATACGTGTGAGGCAGCATGTATTTGGTACATTTCTCCCATTCCTATCTGCCCTTAACGTAACAGTGCTTTCCCTGTTTTACTTTACTGTTACAACAGGAGATTATACTCCATACTAGTCACTGCGTAGCAGACAATTAATGTGACATCGTCGCAGTGACCGCTTCAGCAACTACCTATCTTGTCGCCATTTCTTCCGACACTTCGCGTCCAGCACACTCCTGCATCATCCTATCTTGCACATTCTTCGCAGCGTGCGCATAAGCTACGATGTCTACATCCGTGGCCTTGCCATCTGCGCCTCCGTCAAAGACCTCGTAACTGAACCAGCCCCTGAAGCCTGTCTTGAGCACTGCCTTTGCAACATCAACAACCGGTAGATATCCTCCGTTGTAAGGAAGAGGTCTGAAATCGTGACTCCATCGTCCACGGGGTAACAAGCCGGCATCGTCACGCTCAGCATTGAACGGCTGAGGAACCTTGTACGCATCGCTGATTTGCAACAGGTAGATCTTGTCCTTAGGAACAGTAGCACTCAGCTCCTCCAAGCTCTTCTGAAACAGCTTCTCCAACTCCTCCTTCGACACATCCTCTCGCAGACCAGATGCCGTTCTAGGATCGCCCCACTCTCCACCTGCAGTCTGGAAAGTATCAAGACAAAGACCGATATTAGGACGGTCTACCTGCTGCACAATGTTCCAGACGTCTTTCCAATCAGGAGCATGCGTCGACCAACACCAGTTTTCATAGGCCAGTCGGAAGTTGTGTTCCTTGAGCATATCGCATAGCACCTGGAGATCAGAAACCATCTTGCTTCTGTCCAGTTTCTCGAGCGGTGAATCTGTCGATCCGACTTGCAGCATATCCGTCCCACAGGCCTGCATGATGCGGATCCAGCCGCGAGCGCGCTCCAGGGCGTCTTTGTGGCCGTCGGAACCTTCGGGCCAGCCTTCGTAGTTGGCAAAGGGCTGCAACATCATGATTCCGAGGTTTCGCTTGTCGCATTCTTTCTTGATCTCGGCGGCTACTTTGCATAGTTCGTCGTAGTTGGATGGCTCGACTTCATGGCCGAGGAGAGTATGGCCGTAGGACAGGATGTCTGGGAAGGAAAGCTCGACTGCACTGAAACCTGCGGTGGATATGGCGTGTAGGCGCTCGAGGAGTGGCGGAGGGTTCGACGGCGATCCGAGCGAGCATGTCGCGTAGCTGATGGGGATGGATTGAAGGGTGGTGTAGTCGAGCGCGCCCATGATGATTATGATTCGGAAAGTTTAGATACGTTAATAGTGATCTATTGTTGCTGTGCGGAAGTTACGATTTTGTGTATGGGTGAAGTAGCTATATGCTGGCGCGCAACGGCTCTTTCGGTATGGC